ACATGTATTCCGTTACTCCCCAACACTGCATGCAAGTAAACTTAATGGGATAAATTAGGAATTATGTCGTGTTTCTTAGAAAACACAAAAAGGGGGAGAACTGTCATGTACTTAATATATCCTTAGTGCTTATTTTCTTATTATATTGTTTTATGTACGAATAAGGTTTGTAAAGCAAGGCCTCTTTTGACTCATAAACTAAGTGTTCAGCCAGACTGAAAAACAGGAAGTTAGTGTAGAGCTATACAAGCATATTAATAAATACAGGAAGCCAGACAGAAAAGAGGAACTTGTACCATATAAGGAGTGTTTGTATCGAAACTGTGTGAGTTTCTGCAACTGGCTTTTGGGGCTGTGCAGGGCTCTTTCTTCCGGAAGATGATTGAATAAAAAGAATTATAAATGTTTTGACCACTATGAGTCGGGTTTTCTCTGTTCTATCATGGGGATCAAAGAATCGGGTTTTAATACATATGAAACAAAAAATGAAAAAAATGAAGAAACGCACAACATTGTTGAATTTCAAACAGCACTTTGACATCATGCTCAACCGACAACAGTAAAAAAATGCTGTTGTAATATGTAATCTTACCTGTTGTGAATTGGTGTTGCTGATGTGTTCTTCAATCTTCCTCTTTTGTGCTGCCTTGGCCACTCTGATACCTCTTTTCAGATCAGGTCTAGCTGCACTATCTGCATTTTTCAACTGTCTGATCTGTCAAAAAAAATTATTTTCTTTTGCAGTTATGAACCTTTCCAACCACCTCCTCAAAAGAAACATGCCCCAAAGCTGTCAGAAATTTGCAAACCCTGCAAGTGAGAAAAAACATAATTTGTCACACGGTTTCTCTGAGAAACCTCTTTGTTTATGCCATCATCAAAAATGAAGTCATGTCAGCTGTACAGGTATGATCTGCTGACTGTGTTTGGACGTGTGTGTGTGTCACAGGGAAATCATTGATAAAGTACATCAGCGTTACAATCAAACCTGGAAGAAGAACAAGAAAAATTACTTAAAATTCAGGTAAGGACTAATGCTTAATATTTCTTCTATGAAGAATACGAATTAGATGTAAAAAGATTACCATATAGCAAACAGGAGCCTAGTCATGCATATGAGATATAATGCTATGATATCCAGTATATCAATCGGAGTGGAAATGATTGTGTGTGATTTGTTTGCTTTTATATGAACTGAATCAACTACAGACAAGAAAGAAAGAGTAAAGACGCACAAGGAGTTTAGGACAGAGGAACTGTAAGAAAACTGATGGCACAACAAAGAGCAGAGAGATATTTGCCATATGGACAAATTATGTTATAAGCATATAATGGAGAGGTTTTGAGCTGGATAAAACATTATCAGGAGTTGCATTTGTCTTTATTGCTTACAGCTTTTGGAGTCAACACTCGCAGTGGTGGTAGTCACTAATCTAAACCCTAAAAAATAAAATGAGAAAAAATTCTAGTAACATATGGGGTTATCTTTTTTATGTTATTATTTTTACTGGAGCTAACTGTTTTGTTGATTGATTGCTCCTTTTTTCATCTTCCCTTGTTTAACTGTGGATCTTAACTATCTTAACAAGATAGTGTTGGATAGTTAAGATCAAACAACAGGTGAGCATATAACCTTTTGTTTACTCACCCTTCTCTGTAGGTGTCCTTCCATGTTATCTCTCTCTGTCGAGTGTTATCTTTCCATTGAACGTGATAAACAGAAAAAAATATTGTTCCTTGCCATGACATTCAGAAACAGATTACTGACCTTTCCTTTTGTTGGCAATAACTACTAACATAAGTTAAACATGCAGCAACATCAGAAATGTATGAACCTACTCAGTGTTTGTTGTTTTTCAGAGCTAATCTGAGCGTTACATGCAATGGCTTTGACAACGCCATTATGACACAGAACAATACTCCTATAGGATCGAATATTGTTTACAGTGGAGAAAAGAAGAATACTCTTCAGGTGAACAAGGACTTTTTCAACTTGTTTTTGAAGGTAGGTTCATTTTCATTCATGGAAACTCTGTATGTGCTGGTTCTTTGATATCTTCATTGGTTCTCATATGTTTTATTTGATTGACACAGTGATTATTTTGGAACTTTTCTATTTTTTTGTATCTTCAACTGACCTCTATCTTTTGCTTTTGAAATGAGCTTTTGGAGATAATTTTGTTTGTGCTGTTCTAACCTGAAAAAGTGTGAACAGTATTTTTATCTCATTTGATTTTCTTGGGTTCTACATGTGTATAAGGTATATAGTATTTATAACTAAATACATAGCACAGAATCTGCATTATTAAGGGTTTTTAATGACATCCTACTGGCATTTGATTCTGGTAACCACAATGTTCTGGTCTTGCTTGACTTAACTGCTGCCTTTGACACAGTAGACCACAATATTCTAATTTCTTGATTAATTGATGTAGTGGGTATTGGTGGCGCTGGACTTAATTGGTTTCAGTCTTATTTGGCAAATAGAACTTTCTCTGTCAGCCTTCTCGGTTCTGAATCATCTTCTGCTTTTCTGTCGTGCGGCATCCTACAGGGCTCGTTTTTAGGGCCACTGCTGTTTTTATTATATTTATTGCCTCTGGGTTCCATCCTTAGAAGTTATGGAATTGCTTTTCATTGTTATGCTGATGACTGACAAATTTATTTGCCACTAAAGCAGAAGGATGGCATCACCATAAAACCTCTCTTAACTTGCCTAGATGACATCAAAGCTTGGTTGGCTTTAAACTTTTTAAATTTTAATTAAATGAAAACAGAGATGTTTTGGGGAAACTGTAGGTGTTTGCGTGTCCTAGAGAGGCATTTAAATTTGTGCCTGCCGTCTTTGTTGTTGTCGCTGTCATTCACTGACATCTGCAGAAGCAAGCTTCATTGACTCATTCACTTGTCTTGAACTCCTTTTGCAAATTTTATAGCCTCTTCCAAAGTAAATGCTCCTTCGACATTGATGGTTAAGGTAAACAGTGATCTGATAAACTACACAATAGGGAAAAACTCAGTGGCACATCTGGTCCAGAGTCATTTTGCTATCTGAGTATACTCGCTACAGATGAACAGTGGCTAGAAATTTTTAGAAGACTTGGGGGGTAAAAATTAAAGTGCTGCAAAATATTTAGCAGCCGTTATAGCAAGGATTATGCACTCAAACTAGGAGGGATAAGAAAACAGAATTGAAGTGACTGCAATTTGCAATTTACTGACATCTAAATGGCCTGTATTTGTATAGCGCTTTTCTAGTCCCTAAGGACCCCAAAGCGCTTTACACAACCTGTCATCCACCCATTCACACACACATTCACACACTGGTGATGGCAAGCTACATTGTA